TATATATATATATATATATATATATATATATATATATATATATATATATATATATATATATATATTGAATATGTATATATATATATATATATATATGTTGAATATGTATATATATATATTGGTAGAGTATATTAAGATGTGATAGAGTAGAGAAAACACACAGTGGAAAATACAGTACAATACTACTGCAATGAAATACAATATAAAATAAAATAAAATAATATAATATAATATAACATTAAATGTTAATAGTAATAGAATATAAAGATAAATATTATAAACATAATTATTTTGTTTGTATAAAAAGATAAAAAAGATGAAAACAACAGCAACAAGAAATACCTCTCTCTGTAAACTGCCACAGCGCTCGTTCATCTGCTGCAGCAGCAGAAGTGAGACAGCCATCCAGCACGATATCGCCTTGCTCATCGCTTTGCAAGCAAAGATCCTAAAACAAAATACAAGTTGTTGCAGCAGAAACAAAGATACAACCACAGCTGCAGCAGCAGCAGCAGCAGCAACAGCAGCAACAGCAGCAACAGAAATAGCAGCAACAGAAACAGAAAAAACAGCAACAACAGAGACAACAACGCAACCAATAGCAGCAACAAAACCAGCAGCAGCACAACAGCAGCAAAAACAGCAGCAACAGCAACAGCAGCAGCAGCAGCAGCAGAGCGCTTACTTGATGGGGGCTGGTGATGCCGCTTTGTATTCTGATGATAGGAAAGCCCCCACCCAGTAGCTGCACCAAATTGATGCCAAAGAATTGACTCTGCGGGTTTTTCATGCGAAGACGAATCGCCTTCAGCTGTACAGGGTGACCAAATGTCAGCACTTGGTTGAACTGAGCTGCAACAAAATATAAATATAATAATACAGCTCTTGCATGCGTTTTAATTTATATTTATTTATTTATTTATTTATTTATTTATTGTGTGTTGTATATAGATAGCTGTGCAGCTGGTGGCTGCTTCATTCGTTAGTTTTTTGTGGTTTTTTTATGCAAGAGTTGTTGTACATATTTTTTTGTATCAGCAGTATAAAAAAAAGAATACAGAAAACGCATAAACTCACGCCCAGCTGAATTCACATCTTGAAAGGGAATAACTTCTTGAAATGGCTCTGCTCCATCGAAGCTGGCGGCGACGGCAACTGAGAGGAGATGAATCATCAGAGTTGAAATAAGCGAAACGAGGATAAAATAAACGAAATAAAATGTTTATTTCGGATTGATTGCAGCAAACAAAAACAACTGAAATAATTTTTTTTTTTTTTGTTGATATGTTCACCTTTTCCTGGCGCGTAAGCCCAGTGAATTTCAACTCCTTCAACTGCTCTTCGTGTTCTAAGCCGACCCGTCCATTCAACGATTTCTTCTTTTTTGTGGTTTCCTTCAGAACACCAATACCCTGATCCTCGACTTAATGCTTTTTCAGGCGAAAACTCGCGCAAGCCGCCAGGGCCAACAGTGGGAAAGAAAGAATTCGCTTCAGCAGAGTCTATGCGGATGTACGTGTTTACCACCATCTGATCAGCAGCGACAGGCTGCAACGATTCGGTGGAAACATGCAGCAAAATGAAGAACAACGGGGGAGAAAAACGCAGCCATGCTCGAAACCTAAACATAATTCAAAGAATTTATTCATGAAACGCAAAGAAAGCTGATCAAAAACCAACGGGAAAACGCTGTTCAACACAATTTGCAAAAATTCAGAAATTCAAGTTTCCGCCAGGTGTATGTACACCTGAGCTTGCGGGGAGTGGTTTCGTTCAGAGGCTGCCGTAGTATACACCAGCAACTGGTTGTTTTCTTGAATTATAAAACGATCAACTATCTTAATTTTTAAATTAAAATAAATGCTTGCAGCTGAATTACTGCAATCGAGAATTTGTGGTGTATACACGACTCCCCCAAGGCAATTCAGATTCATCGTTTCGCATCACGAGGAGAAGCCAGAAACCTTCGTTTCTCTGCATTTTCCTTTTATTTCTGTTTTTAATTGCTGAAAGCAATTCAGATAGGAGAAGATCAGTCTGACTGCTGGCGGCCCCTTCTTAACCACATATTGTAAGTGCATGCAGGAGTTGTATTCACGCAGCAAAAGCACCAAATTTATTCAATTCAATCAAATACTTTTGCGTTTCCTTTCTAGTTCAAGAAAATTCAGCTGAATTCATTTTCATGAATTTTCTACAACTCCTGCAGCCTCGCACCAACAGCTGCCCCGCAGCCAAGCGAAGATATCGTTGTTATACTGAGTAAGAAAAGTTCAATACGAGTGCAGAGAAAGCAGCAGGAAACGCATATATGTATACAGTATATATTCGTACTATATTTCTTATTATATATGTGTATTCCATACTATATACCGTATGCATATGCACACATATACACAGAGGTGA